CTCTGTCATGGTTCTCTGTCATGGTTCTCTGTCATGGTTCTCTGTCAGGTTCTTTCAGGTTATCTGTCAGGTTCTCTGTCATGGTTCTCTGTCAGGTTCTCTGTCATGGTTCTCTGTCAGGTTCTCTGTCATGGTGCTCTGTCAGGTTCTCTGTCATGGTTCTCTCAGGTTCTCTGTCATGGTTCTCTGTCAGGTTCTCTGTCATGGTTCTCTGTCATGGTTCTCTGTCATGGTTCTCTGTCAGGTTCTTTCAGGTTATCTGTCAGGTTATCTGTCATGGTTCTCTGTCAGGTTCTCTGTCATGGTTATCTGTCAGGTTCTCTGTCATGGTTCTCTGTCAGGTTCTCTGTCATGGTTCTCTGTCAGGTTCTCTGTCATGGTTCTCTCAGGTTCTTTCAGGTTATCTGTCAGGTTATCTGTCATGGTTCTCTGTCAGGTTCTCTGTCATGGTTCTCTGTCAGGTTCTCTGTCATGGTTCTCTGTCATGGTTCTCTGTCAGGTTCTTTCAGGTTATCTGTCAGGTTATCTGTCAGGTTCTCTGTCAGGTTCTCTGTCAGGTTCTCTGTCATGGTGCTCTGTCAGGTTCTCTGTCATGGTGCTCTGTCAGGTTCTCTGTCAGGTTCTCTTAGGTTATCTCTCAGGTTCTCTGTCAGGTTCTCTGTCATGGTGCTCTGTCAGGTTCTCTGTCAGGTTCTCTTAGGTTATCTGTCAGGTTCTCTGTCAGGTTCTCTTAGGTTATCTGTCAGGTTCTCTCAGGTTCTCTTAGGTTATCTGTCAGGTTCTTTCAGGTTCTCTGTCAGGTTCTCTTAGGTTATCTGTCAGGTTCTTTCAGGTTATCTGTCAGGTTATCTGTCAGGTTCTCTGTCAGGTTCTCTTAGGTTATCTGTCAGGTTCTCTGTCAGGTTCTCTGTCATGGTGCTCTGTCAGGTTCTCTGTCAGGTTCTCTTAGGTTATCTGTCAGGTTCTCTGTCAGGTTCTCTTAGGTTATCTGTCAGGTTCTCTCAGGTTCTCTGTCAGGTTCTCTTAGGTTATCTGTCAGGTTCTCTCAGGTTATCTGTCAGGTTCTCTGTCAGGTTCTCTTAGGTTATCTGTCAGGTTCTCTCAGGTTATCTGTCAGGTTCTCTCAGGTTATCTGTCAGGTTATCTGTCAGGTTCTCTGTCAGGTTCTCTGTCAGGTTCTCTTAGGTTCTCTGTCAGGTTCTCTTAGGTTATCTGTCAGGTTATCTGTCAGGTTCTCTGTCAGGTTCTCTTAGGTTATCTGTCAGGTTTTTTCAGGTTATCTGTCAGGTTCTCTCAGGTTATCTGTCAGGTTATCTGTCAGGTTATCTGTCAGGTTCTCTGTCAGGTTCTCTGTCAGGTTCTCTTAGGTTCTCTGTCAGGTTCTCTTAGGTTATCTGTCAGGTTATCTGTCAGGTTCTCTGTCAGGTTCTCTTAGGTTCTCTGTCAGGTTCTCTTAGGTTATCTGTCAGGTTTTTTCAGGTTATCTGTCAGGTTCTCTTAGGTTATCTGTCAGGTTCTCTCAGGTTATCTGTCAGGTTCTCTGTCAGGTTCTCTTAGGTTATCTGTCAGGTTCTCTCAGGTTATCTGTCAGGTTCTCTGTCAGGTTCTCTTAGGTTCTCTGTCAGGTTCTCTTAGGTTATCTGTCAGGTTTTTTCAGGTTATCTGTCAGGTTCTCTTAGGTTATCTGTCAGGTTCTCTCAGGTTATCTGTCAGGTTCTCTCAGGTTATCTGTCAGGTTATCTGTCAGGTTATCTCTCAGGTTCTCTGTCAGGTTCTCTGTCAGGTTCTCTTAGGTTCTCTGTCAGGTTCTCTTAGGTTATCTGTCAGGTTATCTGTCAGGTTCTCTGTCAGGTTCTCTGTCAGGTTCTCTTAGGTTATCTGTCAGGTTTTTTCAGGTTATCTGTCAGGTTCTCTCAGGTTGTCTGTCAGGTTGTCTGTCAGGTTCTCTGTCAGGTTCTCTGTCAGGTTCTCTGTCAGGTTCTCTGTCAGGTTCTCTGTCAGGTTCTCTGTCAGGTTCTCTGTCAGGTTCTCTGTCAGGTTCTCTGTCAGGTTCTCTGTCAGGTTCTCTGTCAGGTTCTCTGTCAAGTTCTCTGTCAGGTTCTCTGTCAGGTTCTCTGTCAGGTTCTCTGTCAGGTTCTCTGTCAGGTTCTCTGTCAGGTTCTCTGTCAGGTTCTCTGTCAGGTTCTCTGTCAGGTTCTCTGTCAGGTTCTCTGTCAGGTTCTCTGTCAGGTTCTCTGTCATGGTGCTCTGTCATGGTTCTCTGTCATGGTTCTCTGTCATGGTTCTCTGTCAGGTTCTCTTAGGTTATCTGTCATGGTTCTCTGTCAGGTTCTCTGTCATGGTTCTCTGTCATGGTTCTCTGTCATGGTTCTCTGTCAGGTTCTCTTAGGTTATCTGTCATGGTTCTCTGTCAGGTTCTCTGTCATGGTTCTCTGTCAGGTTCTCTTAGGTTATCTGTCATGGTTCTCGTCAGGTTCTCTGTCATGGTTCTCTGTCATGGTTCTCTGTCATGGTTCTCTGTCATGGTTCTCTGTCATGGTTCTCTGTCAGGTTCTTTCAGGTTATCTGTCAGGTTATCTGTCATGGTTCTCTGTCAGGTTCTCTGTCATGGTTCTCTGTCAGGTTCTCTGTCATGGTTCTCTGTCATGGTTATCTGTCAGGTTCTCTGTCATGGTTCTCTGTCAGGTTCTCTGTCAGGTTCTCTGTCATGGTTCTCTCAGGTTCTCTGTCATGGTTCTCTGTCAAGTTCTCTGTCATGGTTCTCTGTCATGGTTCTCTGTCATGGTTCTCTGTCATGGTTATCTGTCATGGTTCTCTGTCATGGTTCTCTGTCATGGTTCTCTGTCAGGTTCTCTGTCATGGTTCTCTGTCAGGTTCTCTGTCATGGTTCTCTGTCATGGTTCTCTGTCATGGTTCTCTGTCATGGTTCTCTGTCAGGTTCTTTCAGGTTATCTGTCAGGTTCTCTGTCATGGTTATCTGTCAGGTTCTCTGTCATGGTTCTCTGTCAGGTTCTCTGTCATGGTGCTCTGTCAGGTTCTCTGTCATGGTTCTCTCAGGTTCTCTGTCATGGTTCTCTGTCAGGTTCTCTGTCATGGTTCTCTGTCATGGTTCTCTGTCATGGTTCTCTGTCAGGTTCTTTCAGGTTATCTGTCAGGTTATCTGTCATGGTTCTCTGTCAGGTTCTCTGTCATGGTTATCTGTCAGGTTCTCTGTCATGGTTCTCTGTCAGGTTCTCTGTCATGGTTCTCTGTCAGGTTCTCTGTCATGGTTCTCTCAGGTTCTTTCAGGTTATCTGTCAGGTTATCTGTCATGGTTCTCTGTCAGGTTCTCTGTCATGGTTCTCTGTCAGGTTTTCTGTCATGGTTCTCTGTCATGGTTCTCTGTCATGGTTCTCTGTCAGGTTCTTTCAGGTTATCTGTCAGGTTATCTGTCAGGTTCTCTGTCAGGTTCTCTGTCAGGTTCTCTGTCATGGTGCTCTGTCAGGTTCTCTGTCATGGTGCTCTGTCAGGTTCTCTGTCAGGTTCTCTTAGGTTATCTGTCAGGTTCTCTGTCAGGTTCTCTGTCATGGTGCTCTGTCAGGTTCTCTGTCAGGTTCTCTTAGGTTATCTGTCAGGTTCTCTGTCAGGTTCTCTTAGGTTATCTGTCAGGTTCTCTCAGGTTCTCTGTCAGGTTCTCTTAGGTTATCTGTCAGGTTCTCTCAGGTTCTCTTAGGTTATCTGTCAGGTTCTTTCAGGTTCTCTGTCAGGTTCTCTGTCAGGTTATCTGTCAGGTTCTCTGTCAGGTTCTCTGTCATGGTGCTCTGTCAGGTTCTCTGTCAGGTTCTCTTAGGTTATCTGTCAGGTTCTCTGTCAGGTTCTCTTAGGTTATCTGTCAGGTTCTCTCAGGTTCTCTGTCAGGTTCTCTGTCAGGTTCTCTTAGGTTATCTGTCAGGTTCTCTGTCAGGTTCTCTTAGGTTATCTGTCAGGTTTTTTCAGGTTATCTGTCAGGTTCTCTCAGGTTATCTGTCAGGTTATCTGTCAGGTTATCTGTCAGGTTCTCTGTCAGGTTCTCTGTCAGGTTCTCTTAGGTTCTCTGTCAGGTTCTCTTAGGTTATCTGTCAGGTTATCTGTCAGGTTCTCTGTCAGGTTCTCTTAGGTTCTCTGTCAGGTTCTCTTAGGTTATCTGTCAGGTTTTTTCAGGTTATCTGTCAGGTTCTCTTAGGTTATCTGTCAGGTTCTCTCAGGTTATCTGTCAGGTTCTCTGTCAGGTTCTCTTAGGTTATCTGTCAGGTTCTCTCAGGTTATCTGTCAGGTTCTCTGTCAGGTTCTCTTAGGTTCTCTGTCAGGTTCTCTTAGGTTATCTGTCAGGTTTTTTCAGGTTATCTGTCAGGTTCTCTTAGGTTATCTGTCAGGTTCTCTCAGGTTATCTGTCAGGTTCTCTCAGGTTATCTGTCAGGTTATCTGTCAGGTTATCTCTCAGGTTCTCTGTCAGGTTCTCTGTCAGGTTCTCTTAGGTTCTCTGTCAGGTTCTCTTAGGTTATCTGTCAGGTTATCTGTCAGGTTCTCTGTCAGGTTCTCTGTCAGGTTCTCTGTCAGGTTCTCTTAGGTTATCTGTCAGGTTTTTTCAGGTTATCTGTCAGGTTCTCTCAGGTTGTCTGTCAGGTTATCTGTCAGGTTATCTGTCAGGTTCTCTGTCAGGTTCTCTTAGGTTCTCTGTCAGGTTCTCTTAGGTTATCTGTCAGGTTCTCTGTCAGGTTCTCTTCAGGTTCTCTTAGGTTCTCTGTCAGGTTCTCTTAGGTTATCTGTCAGGTTTTTTCAGGTTATCTGTCAGGTTCTCTTAGGTTATCTGTCAGGTTCTTTTCAGGTTATCTGTCAGGTTCTCTGTCAGGTTCTCTGTCAGGTTCTCTCAGGTTCTCTGTCATGGTTCTCTGTCAGGTT